ATCCCACGTGTTAGATTTCAGCACTGTCCAGTTGGACAAGGACTTGTCCTATGAGGAAGAACCGTTAGCTATTCTAGACCGGCATGTTCGTCAGTTGAGATCGAAGAGTTTCCCTTCTGTTCATGTTCAGTGGAGAGGTCAGCCTGCTGAGGCATCGACCTGAAAGTTTGAGTCCGATATGCGAAGCCTTTATCCCCATCTTTTCCCTGATTCAGGTACTTCCTTCTTATGTTCGTTTGAGGATGAACAGTTGTCTTAGAGGTGGAGGTTGTGATGACCCGAAAGGTCATCACTTGATTTAGAAACAAATCCTGTGTTCCGAGGTCTTAAAACCTCCTTTTTTCTTACCTCGATTTGCATGCGTGATCCGGACCTATATCCGAAAAGCCTTTTATGTGAAAATATGAGAAATAGAGATTTCTAGAGTTAAAATTTGATTATGATTGACTTTGGTCAACATTTTGAGCAAACGGACTCGGATCCGTGTTCCGACGATCCCGGGAGGTCCGCAATAAAATATAGGACTTGGGCGTATGCCCGGAAATGAATTCCGAGGTCCCAAGCCTTAGAAATTAATTTTTGAAAGAAATTATTTTGCTGAATTATCTATGAAATAAAGAAAAGAATTTATGTTTGAAACCATTAGTATCGGGCCCATATTTTGGTTCTAAAGCCAGGTACAGGTCTTATATATGATTCAAGTTGAGCCTGTAAAATTTGGTAAGAAACGGACTTGAAATGACATGATTCAGAACCTTAGATGTAAAATTTGGAACTTTGAAAGTTCATGAGATTTCCTTTGATTTTGGTGGTAAATTCATGGTTATTGATGTTATTTGAGGATTTGCTTACACAAGCAAGTCCGTATGATATTTTTAGGTTATTGTACATGTTTGGTTTGGAGCCCCGAGGACTCGGGTGAGTTTTGGATAGCCCGCAGAATGAAATCTAACTTAGGAAAACTGCTGGTATTTTTCAGACCTGCAGGCTTCGCAATTGCGATAAACTCATCGCATTTGCGAAGACTGGATGGGAAGGGAACCTTCGCAATTGCGAAGCTTATGTCGCAATTGAGACCTTAGCAGGTATCGCATTTACGAAATACAGTTCACATTTGGGAAGAAGGCAGAGTTGGGCATACTTCGCAATTGCGAAGCACTTGCCGCAATTGCGAGTTCGCAGTTGCAAACATATCATCGTAATTGCGATATCTGCGACATGCAAATTCATAACTTAGCCGAAAATCTTTCATTTTCAAACCCTTTCAAAACATAAACTCCCTTGGGTGATTTTTCAAAGGCAACTCTTCCTCCAAATCGATTGTAAATCAATTCTAAACCGTTTTCTTCAATTTTTAACATCTTTTCACATGATTTCAACTCAAAATCAAGGGTTTTCATGGGGGAAATTAGATGTTTTGGGTAGAACCTAGGGTTTTCAAATTTTGGGGATTTGGACCTCGATTTGAGGTCTGATTTCAAAATAAATTATATATTTGGGTTCGTGGGGGAATGGGTAATCGGGTTTTGGTTCGAACCTCGATTTTGACTATGTGGGCCCGGGGGCGATTTTTGACTTTTTGGGAAAAACTTTAGAAAACCTATTTTCATGCTTTGGAATTGATTCATTTAGCATTTATTGATATAGTTAAGTAACTTGTGGCTAGATACGAGTGAATTGGTGGTGAATTCAAGAGGTTAAGCGGTGATTGATGCTTCAATTGTGTTTTGTGGCATCGAAGTGAGTGTTTGGTCTAACCTTAGCTTGAGGGATTAGGAGTTGTGTCCTATTTGCTATATGTTATTTGTTGAGTACGATGTATAGGCATCGTGACGAGTATCTACACATTGGTGTCTAGCATGCCCGTGAGTCTTAAATTGAAATCGTTGTGTTCTTAATAAGTACTACAAATGCCTAAGTTGTTGAATCTCTGTGTTGGGCAAGAGTTATGATTAATCTCGTGAAAATTGCTTATGGTTGAGTATTGGATCTAGATGAGGTTTCTTTTGTGAAGTTAAATATTGGAACAAGTTTGGTTATAGCTGATTCCTTTGCCGGGACGTATTTACTTCTTACTATCGACTCCCTTATCGGGATATTATTGTTCCCATATTGTTCCCTTGTCGGGACTCTTTGTGATTGGTGTTGAATTGTATATTGAGATCGGGTTGCATGCTGCAACAATAGTATATTTAGATCGGGTTGTACGCCACAACAATATTACATTTGGATCGGGTTGCACGCATCAACAATATTATATTTGGATCGGGTTGCACGCGGCAATATTGATTTATGGTACGGAGCGGGTTGCACGCCGCAACCGTATTTTTTTATGATTTGGATTGGGTTGCGCGCCGCAATAATAAGGGATAAAAGTGGTTATTGATTTGTCACGTTTTCCTTATTCTTTCTGCTACGAATTTTAAATTGTTCTTTATGCTTTCCTCATGAGTTACTGTTGGTAAATGATATTCCCTCGCAACATGTCCCCCCATCCTTAACTGTATATTTTTGCTTTTTATTTTCCGTTGTATATGATATAATTGCACAGGTTTATTTGGTAGTCTGGTCCTAGACTCGTCACTATTTTGTCGGGGTTAAGCTAGGCACTTACCTGCACATGGTGTCGGTTGTGCTGATACTACACTATGTACTGTGTGTAGATCCCGGAGTAGCAGCTTTCGGACCGTAGCTTTGGGAGGCTGCCTTCAGTCCAGTCGGAGATTCCGAGGTAGTCCTGTAGGCGTCCGCAGACCTTGACGTCTTCTCCTATCCTCTTAGTCTATTTCTTTTACATATTTCAGAGATAGTGTTGTAATAAATCTTTCAGACTTTTATTTATAGTATTCCTAGACAGTCTGTGAAATTGTGACACCAGTCTTGGGTAGTTATTGTATGGATTGGTATTGACATCTTTCTTAAATTATTACATTTCAGTCTTCCGCTTATTAGATTTCCGCTGTTTATCAATTGTTGATTATTAATTGTAAAAGGATTAAAACGGAAAAAGGTAAATAATCCAAATGGTAGGCTTGCCTAGCTTTCACTAGTAGGCGCTGTCACGACTTTCGAAGGTGGGAAATCCGGGTCGTGACAAAATAAGGCGAATGCTATTTCCCTAAGGACCTTCGTTGCTTTTAATATAGTATAAATTAGTTATCTTTTTATTATTGCATAGGAAAAAAGAAAGAAGAATAAAGAAAAGAAGCAAAAAAAAAAGTGAATAAAATTAGATTATGCAGAAAAAAGGAAATAAAAGTAAAAAAGATTTAAATGAAATTAGAAAAGGAACAAGAAATAAAGAGAATGAACAAAAGGCAAAAAAAAAGGAGCCAAAATTGAGCATGAAATCAGATTATGGCGAACAAAGAAAATAAAAAATAATATGGTTAGAAAATAAACATAAAAGGAGAAAAAAGCAAAGAATAAAGAAAAACGATAAAAAAGAAAAGGAGAAAAAAGAGGCAATTGCCCACAAAAACTACAATGAGTATGAAAGGTAAGTTTGATAAAATAAATGGATAGACAACCATAATTAATTTGATTTTTTATGGGTAAACCTATAAAACTAGGGAATCTTCCATAAATGACCCAGGATAAGTTTCAATTTACCAACTTCTACCCATTAATTATAGACTTACCAATACTAGCAGACACATATAAAAATTGAAAACCCAAATAAATAAGGTTCTTTCTCTCCAAGAATCGCATGCAAAGATCGCCTTCCATATTTTTAAGTGTGATCAACAACATTAGATGCAAGATGGAAAGAAAATTTCATAGATGAGGTACATATATATGTGTGTGTGTATATATATATATATATATATATATATTTTTTTTTTTGATTTTCCAGAAAGCTAATAAGAAAAGAACATTTTTCAATAGGTATGGTTGAAATTAATTGAAATCATATAGATGAGTTAATATACAAAATTTGAGAAAGATTGGAGGTGATTTGGACTGATTTGGTATCAAAATTCGTAGTTAAAATCGAGTTCAAAAAATTCTTCTGCGACACATGTATCAAACATGTATCACGCATGTATCTCACACACAAGTATGCATTGATATACATGTGATACACATTTGATATAAATATCATACATATGTGATACACAAATGATACATAGTGTGATACACATATCACTTTTTTTAATATTCATCTTCTAGTTCGAATTTTTAATTCAAAAAACTTAAAAATTCCACCAAATCATCCAAAAACTGAGATTCAAGCTCCTTAAGATATACTCAATCTATTCTAATAACGCCCACTAAAAAAAACAAAAAATTAACCTTTTTTTGGCTACAAATAGTTAATTGGCTAATATTAATAATATTTTATGAATTAATCAATTCTTGTAATAAGCTAGACATAAATGAACATAACCGGCAGTTTCCCATAAAACTACCTTCAATAAAAGATTGACGTGATTACGGGCTTAGGGCAGCGGCAGGCCCATAGATACAATCAGCACTTCGGCCTTAAGGGGGTACTTGGTATGTAGCTCGATGTTGGGCAGTGGGCGCTGTTCTATCTTTCGAGTCATGTCCTAAAAGATATCCTTCTAAATCAAAAACTATCCCTCTCTTCCAATCAAAACTTAATACTACTCTATATACCTCTATATACCACTTGATCAGTCTTTCTAGAAAACCCTAAAACATGTCGGGCGGGTTTTTCCGGGTAAGTTTTCCTCTTGATTCTCCATTCGTCTTTGTAGATCCAAGCTCCAATTTCGCTTTTATGGCTGATGAGTGATAGATTCAAAATTGTTTTAATTTAGGGTACGTCGGCCGAGCAGGACACTCGGTTCTCTAATAAGCAAGCTAAGCTGTTGAAATCTCAGAAGTTCGCTCCTGAATTGGAACATCTGGTGAGTTCGTTTTGTAGGATTTATTTTATTAGGTGGAAAGTTAAGATGGATATCACGTGGCGACTCCATGGAATGCAAACCCGGCTTTCTTCATTTTGTTCTTAGTTTTGAATTTCTGGAATAGAAGATCCCCTTCATACTTGTTTGATTGTGTTGTGTCTCAAATCTATTATGTGATAGGTGGACATGACCAAAGTAAAGATGGATGTAATGAAACCATGGATTGCCAAACGAGTTACCGAGCTTATTGGTTTTGAAGATGAAGTTCTTATCAATTTCATTTATGGCCTTCTTGAACGAAAGGTAGAATATACATTATACTTGTTTGCTTGACTTAACTATGTTTTGCTAAACAATCGGATTTTAATAATTAACGCTCAGATTTTACTTTTCAACAAATTTTTTTTCAAGAAAGAAGTAACATTAAACTGGTGATGGATTTCAGGTAGTTAACGGCAAGGAGGTTCAAATTTCACTTACTGGATTCATGGAAAGAAACACTGGCAAATTTATGAAAGAGCTTTGGGCGCTACTACTTAGTGCACAGAACAATGCAAGCGGTGTTCCTCAGCAGTTCCTAGAAGCCAAAGAAGAGGAAATGAGAAAGAAGAAGGTGTTTCTCGCTGATTTTTTTTTGTTGCCTTGTGGTTTACCTCTTGTTAGTAGCCTTTTTTCTTCGTTTTTTCTAGGTTGAGACGGATCGAATTGCCAACGAGATTCATAAGAAAAAGGAGAGAGAGAGTAGGGAGCTGGATCAAGAGAAAAGGAAGATGATGGTAACTAAAATAATATCCATGAAAGAGTTATTTTATCCAGAGTTGGGTTTTCTTTTTTAACTTTTGTTTGTGTTTCCCTGGTATCAGCCTGCTTCTGCAATTATTTGGGTTCATATCCTTTACCTCAAACTACTGTAGGACGATTATGCCAGCAATTCGAGACAAAAAAATGCTGCACTGGAGCCAAGTCCGAAACACCAGCCTCGGGTGCGCTCGACAGATGATTTAGACCATGTTGACAGAAATGGCTCAAGAAGAATACACAGGTTAGGATTTGAATAAGNCACAGATGATTTAGACCATGTTGACAGGAATGGCTCAAGAAGAATACACAGGTTAGGATTTGAATTAGCTTTTTCTTTTGGTTTGGTAAGTAAAATGATTTAGTAAAGAAGTATCCGGGGTTTGAAACCCATTGAACCAGGGTACATAGCAAAACCCATCCGGGAGCAACATGAGAGAGCAATACTACATCTTGTTTGATGTCACTAATCTACTTATTTCTTATTTACAGCTTTCTTGTAGTATTGCTCTCTCATGTTGCCCATATCTTCTAGCAATACAGTACCTGATTGTTATCACCAAATGAGTTAGTAAATAAAATCTTATTTCATTCTTTGCCTTCATTATATCGTGTCTCCTCCAGCGTGGGAGTTGAGATTAACGGCGAACAACCAAATAGTTATGCCACGCGCGGAGTACTTTGTTGATCCTATTACCTGAAGTCCTTTATTACTTCCTCAAGCACTTCCTATTAATTAGATACTCCCTCAGTTCCAATTTATGTGAACCTGTTTGACTGGGCACGGAGTTTAAGAAAAATAAAGATTTTTGTAATTTGTGGTTCTAAACAAGTTAAAAAGTGGCCCAGAGAATTTGTGTGGTTATAAAAACTTTTCATTAAGGGTAGAATTGTAAGTTTAAGCTAAATTGTTTCCAAATTTAGAAAGGATTCATTCTTTTTGGAACATACTATAAAGAAAATAGGTTCACATATACTGGAACGGAGGGAGTATGTTAGATAGTTATGTATATAATGTGAATTAGTCCTAGTCCCACATAGAATATGAGTATGATATGTATTGTATAAATAGGGTTCATTATATTATAATTAAATAGAAAATCAATAATAGATTTTTCTTCTGTGCATTCTCATATGATATCAAAGCAATCGTGAAAATCTATTGCCGTTCATAAATTCTAGCGACTCTGCAAGAAAAATAGTATCCGCCAGTGTTGTGCAAAAACCACTACCACCAGGAAGTAGATCAGGGCTCAAGACCAACCCTTAAAAAATCTCTGGCAAAAAAGGACTCGCGGGCCCTTACATGCCGCTGGAAGAATTTCTCAGGCGAAGTTTCGACGTCCACGCGCCGCCACGTGAGTCTGTTTTCGGCTAGTTTTGCAAAACTTCTTCAGGGTTCTCCCCGCAATTCCGGGCCTACCCATCCAATTAAAATTAAATTTTGACCACTTTTATATTTTTCCGGTGTGAATAGTGATTTTCTCGGCATGAACAGTAATTTCTAGAAAATTTATGCTTTTTCCGGAGTAAACATTATAATGGCATTTGTATCAGAAGCCTTTGACTCACAATCCGTTGGATCCAATGCATTGAATTCAATCCAGATGGTTTCTTTACCGTATTATATTGAGTTCCTTCAGTACAAAGCATGTAAATAGACATATTCAGGGATAGATTCCGTTGTTCAAATAGATAGTAACGTGGCTTGTGTCTCCCAATCTTCAACCTCTGAGTCTTGGGTCATTGATTCAGGTGTATTTGATCATATTTCTAGTAACAAATCTCTTTTCACTGCTATTTCATGTTCTCAATCTCTCCCACAGTCGCAATGGCCAACGGGTCTCAAATCATGGCAATTGAATAGTTCAAGCAGTCCACTTCCTTCCTTACCTTTAGATTCAATTCTTTATGTTTTCAGTAGTCCTTTTAATCTGATAACCGTTAGTCGCTTAGCCATATCACTTAAATTCTCTGTTTTATTTCTTGATGACATTGTTTTTATACAGGAATGCAGTACATGGCGGATCATTGGTACTAGACGTGAATCAGATGGACTTTATTACCTTATCATTGCAAAATCACATGGATTCACATCTTTTCTTCCTTCAACAACTTTTCAATTTATTACATAAACGGTTGGGACGTCCCAGTTTGGCGAAACTTTAGAAAATGGTACCTGGTTTATCGCACTTTTCCACTCTAGAGTGCTGACTCATGTCAGCTCGGTAAGAATACCCGCTCCCATTTCCCTCGGCGTCTTGATAATCGGGCAGAGTCACCTTTTACTTTAGTCCATTCAGATGTTTGAGGTTCTAGTTGGGTCAGTTCTACCTTGGGATTTCGCTACTTTGTTAGTTTTATTGATATAATTATTCCTAGTGCACTCGGATATTTTTGATGAAAAATCGATCTGAGTTGTTTTCTATTTTCCAGACCTTTCACGCTGAAATTCAAAATCAATTTTGGGTTTCTATCAGCACATTTCATAGTGATAATGCACTAAAGTATTTGTCTTCCCCATTTCAGCAGTTTATGAACTCTCACGGGATTATTCATCAAACATATTATTCGTACACATCCCAACAAAATGTGGTAGCTAAAAGAAAGAATAAACATCTTATTGAAACAGCTCGTACCCTACTCATACAATCTCATGTTCCATTACGTTTTTGAGGGATGTAGTTCTTACCATATGCTATCTTATTAATCGTATGCGATCTTCAGCTATCCAGAATCAAGTTTCATTCTCTGTCCTGTTTCCTCACTTACCTTTGTTCTCTCTTCCACCCCGTGTCTTTGGGAGCACGTGTTTTGTTCATAACCTTACTCCAGGAAAAGATAAGTTAGCTCTTCCTGCTCTTAAGTGCGTATTTTTGGGTTACTCGAGAACACAAAAGGGATATGAATGCTATTCTCCTGACCTCCAACGGTATAAGTTACCTTCTTTGAAACCCAATCATACTTCAGAGGTCCAGGTAATCGCTTAGATATTTCTAAGGTGCTACCAATTCCATCTTTTGGAGATTCAGTCACTATCTCCCATTCATGTTCCTTTATAACTCCAGCTTCACCACCTACGGCTCCAGTTGCAGCTCCACCACCTATAGCTCTAGTTCCACCACCTAGTGCAGTTCAATCTTTTATAGTTCCACCACTCCTGACTTATCGTTGTCGTCCGTGTCCAGCATCATGCCCATATGATTCACGTCCTGCACCTAACCCTGCTAATACCGCAGACTCGTCTTCTCTTAGTCAACCGATTGCACTACGGAAAGGTATACGGTACATACTTAATCTTAATTCCCATTATGTCGGTTTAAGTTACCATCGTCTGTCATTACCCCATTGTGCATTTGTATCATCTTTGTCCTCTATTTCCATCCCTAAGTCTACAGGTGAAGCACTGTCTCATCCAGGGTGGCGACAAGCTATGATTGACGAGATGTCTGCTTTACATACGAGTGGTGCTTGGGAGCTTGTTCCTCTTCCTTCGGGTAAATCGATTGTTAGTTGTCGTTGGGTGCATGTAGTCAAGGTTGGCCATTAGGTTGATTGACTTAAAGCTCGTCTTGTTGCCAAAGGGTATATAGGTATTTTGGCTCGATTATAGTGATTCTTTCTCTTCCGCGGCTAAAATAGCATCAATCTGTCTTTTTCTATCCATGGCTGCTGTTCGCCATTGGCATCTGTATGAACTAGACATTAAGAATGCTTTTCTTCACGATGACCTTGAGGATGAGGTTTGTGTGGAGCAACCACCCAGTTTTGTTGCTC